TCAAAATACTGGTGATTAATAACACTGATCAAACCCAGGCTATAACCCCTGGCTGTGTGGGGACAGCAAACGCTGTGAACACAAAGTGATGGTTGCACGTCCCAGCTCACCCAAATCATACTTTCAGCTCCGCTAGCTTCAGAAATATATGTCATTAGCTACGAGAGGAAAGTGCCAAAGACCAAAGACTTCATAGTCATGTTTAAGATCTCGTTGGTCACTCACAGTAAAAAGTCACATTAATGTTAAAGCTGTACCTTTCAGCAACTTTGCTAGTGGGTTTGAACACTTGATGTTTTCCATGTGTGAGGCCTCCCGTCTGAAGGAGCATATGTGTGGATCACGGCGCCCAAAATCAGCATGGTACACGTGGATGACGTGGCCCTGGTCTGTCAAAGAAAGCAGTGCGTGCTGTTGAAAACTGAAGAAGGGTGCTTGGAGAGGCAGTTATCAGGACACGTCAAAGTTTGTCGGGTCACACGTGATCTTACCGCACTGCAGTTCGACCATAGACTGCTCGCAGGTTATCAGGTGAACTGCCAAAGTAACATCAGTCAGATTAGGTGGAGCACTCAGAGCCTACTGTTTAAAGCAGGTGCGTGACTCACTTGCTGGTATACAGGTGTAGGTGGTCTGGATGTATTTAAAGGTGTCATTGCAGGGATCTCTTGCAAAGATGGCCGGGGTTACTTCACACACCTTCTTGCCGTCACAGCTGAACAGATAATAGAAAGTAGAGTCAGCAGTGAAGCACCATGGGAAATCCCACCAACGCTGAGAAGAACAGTCTTTCATTGGGTTCTACGTGATTATGGGGTCTTGTAAGGTAAAAGGAATTCCCCACAAATATCATCAAAGTGAAATCGTCTGTTTTGTCTGAGGCGAAAGGCTCGCAGTCCCAGCTTTGCACTGGATCTGATAACCTGGCATTTCTTACTCCACGATCATTATCCATGAAAGCAAGAAGGCACTCTGATTCTTTTATATTCACTTTTCAAAAAGCATCTCGTCTTCCAGACATGATCTCTCACATCACTGAAGTTTCACACTATACATGCAGCACATTTCATCCCCTGTTATTCTACAGGACCTGTCCCGACTTCTTTGATGTTGGGCTGAGAAACAAACTCAGAGCAGGTCCAGTCAATCAACAATCATTTATTAAGCACATGCATGTGGCGATGTACACAATACCACCTTCTGTGTCGATCTCAAGAGGAAGCACTTAGATACACAGTTTCATATGTCAGGGTTAACGCTCCTTCATGCGCAGGCAGATAACATAACATGCATCAGTTACAGTTAGAACAGACATAATTCCTTTTTTGGTAATCTTCTATAACACTTAGAAATATCTATATGTGGTAATCAGCAGCAGTGACATCCATTGATAACAAATACCGGTGTGTTATTGGGACGTATACCTTGTCCTGATGGTGTCTTCAGCACCCTCCAGAGAGCACGCAGTATTGATGGCCACCTCTTCAGCTTTCTCTCCACTGCACGTGTCCCGGTCTCTTCGTCCATACATGGACTCCTGGACACGAATCACTCCAGTTTCTGTTGGACATCACAGAGGCAGGTATTCAAACGCAACGACAGAGCTTACCAACCAGGGACGTCTGCAGCTGCCGTCAGCCTCACAAACTCACAAACACAAACTGCAGAGATGCTCACTCGCTGCTTTGTATGCTTCCCAAACACAAATGTCATTCCTGTCTTACATACTCTGTACTCATAGAACCAAATCAAGGATCCCTTAAAGAAACGGGCGTGTTTTCCAAATCTAACTTAGTGGTGATTATATTAAACTCATGTGTGCCACTTATTTAGTTTTGATGCAATGTTGTGTGGAGGTTCTTCCAGGCGGTAAATGACGGTGTATGTTTGCTGAAACACTTCACAGGGTTTAAAATCCACCCGTCCATTCTCTCCCGCCTATCCTCAGAGTGTGGGGGTAATGTACCACCGTGTGTGGCTCCTGGCTCTATACGACCACTGTGGCTTTCTGTATGGACACTTTTTCTAAGGCAGCTGAAGAGATGTGAATAAAAACTGGAGGAATAGGACACTATGGTGTAAAGCTTCTGCTGGATATCAGCATGTGGAGTTCTGTACTCATGGTTTAAAGTCGGTCCTGAGTGTTTCTGCTCTCGTACCTCACTGTGTGTCTATGATGTGATCTGTGTTCGACATTCGCCCCCAATAAATAAATAACAATAACACGTAGAAACACTGCAGCGCTGAGAAACATGAGTGGTTGGGTCTTACCACAGCTCAGCCGGTGGACGTGGTTCCCACACGTGATGACTCTCTGCGCACCTTTAAAGCACACATGGAGCAATTAGTCTAACTCACATATTAAAACTAAGCACACTGAGAAACAATCAGACTAGCAGACACTTACCTGTGCTAACAAGCAGACAGGCTGCTGCCAACACTGAAAAACAAAGGAGCAGCACTCTCAATTTATAATGTGGCCAAATATGAAAACACGTGATACTTTACCCTTAAATACATGAACTGAAGAAATCTTCTTCAGCTAGAAAACAACATGAATGAGAAAATGCTGACTGTACTCACAGAGCGTGCTGCTGAGGCGGAGCATGGTTTCAGGGGACCCAGTGAGACTGATGCTTGCAGCAGAAACACGCAGCATTTATAGCTTTGAGTCTGTTTGCAGTCTCATCTTATCGTGCTAAACAAACCTTACCCCCCAGACTTTTGTTCAGCTGGATACGTGCCCAAACATGTGGCCAGGTGCTCGCCCAGTGAAGGATTTGACATGATTATACACACATGCAAAGAACATACAGTCCTGCTTGGATCAAACGTGCTGCAATGAATTTTTGAAGTGATCGATAACAGTAGAGCTCTTTACTGAGTTCATGTTTGGACCTTTGCTTTGTTTTTTGGGGGGGAGGGGGGGGGGTTATAGGGTTTCTGGAGGTGTGGTCCTGTCAAACAGCCTGTTTCAGTTTAAATGTTGTTTTCAATAAATTGCATGCTCAGCAAAATGTTTTGTCTCAGTAACATTTCTTCTTGTTGCATGTTGAAGCTCGACCTGGAACCTTGTTCAGATCCAACCATGCAAAACAGGATTTAGTCATTTTTCTTGTGGTAAATGGCCTGTATTTATATAGCGCTTTACTAGTCCCTAAGGACCCCTATGTGTTAGAGGGCCCAGGCCTGAAGGATAGACCGACAGGTCTGTGTAACAAAGACACTTGGCTCACTGTAACTTCAAAAAGTCATTTATTTCAGAACTGAAACTGTGTAATGAACTCACATGTTATCTTCTGATTTATTAACCTGACATCAGTCTGCTCACGATGCCCTAATTCCCTTTTTGCTGATGGGCTCCATAAAATACTGTTTCCACTGAAGAAGCTGTGTTTTTATTTCATGGCCAACAGCTAAACTACTCTTTATGCTGTTTGATTGTCTGCACAAAGTAGAGAAATTGATATCTACCTCAGTTTTATTCTGTTGTATTTATTTATGCTTTTTTTATTTGATCTGTTTGTACATATTAACCTGCATCTGTGTGTGGACAGCAGAGAAAGACTTTCATTGCACAGAGAAATGCTTTTCTTTGTACACGTGACAATAAACGCTTGAATCTTTGAATCTTGAATCTTTGAGGACACATGGTTTCAGTGAATCAGGAAATACTGAACTAGCTGACACACAATTTACAAAGTGAAAAAAGACAAACCTGCAGATTTTCCAAATGTAAGTGTGCAGGTTTGTTTCTGTTATCTGTGTGCTTCTGTTTCTGTCACAGATAACGCCGTTAGGATTGCATACCAGAATAAACAGAGCAGAAGAAGAGCAAACAGACAAGACAAATAGGACACAAATAGCAGATAACTCAGCACAAACACAGGCACGCTGCCACCACACGCAAGCATCACTGACAGTAAATCTGATCCTTGCAACACACAGTCTGCACTATGTGCTGAATAACATGGAATTGTAACCCTGATACTGTGCAATGCGTGCATGCCAGCACTGCTTCAGGGCAGTTTGATGTGCAGAAAAATAAATCAGATATTTTAAAAATAGAGGTCGTTTCCTTTGATCTGACTTGAGACATTCAGCTCCATGCAAAAGTCTGGACAAATCAAACTCATGCAGCAGACACACAAAATGTCTTCTTCTTCTTATCTTCTAATGTTTACGCCAACAGAAATACAAAAAGTATTTCTTATTTCCAAAGGTCAACACAGCTGTAATATCTATGTTACAGCTCCAGGCTTGGAGGGTATGACGATGATACTGTCACAGCTACAGCTGCAAGCGACATCCCACAGGTCAGCCGGGCACTCCCAGGCCTGACTCTGACGTAACACAGTTAATATAAGTGTGTAATGCAAAGTGACCACATCATAAGAGTTCTGCTCTGTGTCATAGTTTTTACAGCACACGTTGTTCTGATCAGGATTATTTTCAAATCTGTCCTTACATATTTTACACTACACTGATTAAAGTATACACCTATTCGGGAAAGCTGTGATGGCACAGATGCATGCTGGGAAATATAGTACTGGTACCTTCTAAACTTGCTGCCTGGTCCTCAAACAATTAGATCCTCAAAGAATTTTGCCTGAGAATTTGACTAAATCCCTGCAGACCTGCTGACGTCAACCATGCGACAGTTTTGTCTTATAGAGTTAAACAGCACAGCAGCATTTTATTTCATGTTGAGCGAGCAAAGCGAAAAATGGTGCTCAAAAGAGGAGAGAGAGAAGAGAGCAGGATGAGTACAACGACCCGCAAGGCTCAAAAGATACAGTCTGAAACATTGTTACTACTGTTGTTATAATATGTGCTCTTACTGTAATATGAGTGTCTGTTCCACTGTAAAGTAACACAGACCGAGGATGAGGTGACGCACACAGTGGGTTTGTCTCCTTTGTTCCATGATTACAGACATCGTGGTGTGACCTTATATGACGTGTACGTGTCCCACAGCCTGGGATTGCTGTTGTCCTCCATGGTGCTGATTAATTTTATTTTGCACGTGTGATTTAGAGAGAGAGTGAGGTGCTGTGTGTGCTTCAGTACAACATGATGGTGAGGGTCTATCAGAGTTACGACTTCAGATTCATGTAGTGCCAACACTTTCATGTCAGAGTAACAAACGACAAGCTTTGTAGCTGCAATAAAACAAAGACTGGGAGGCTTTGTTTTGTATATTAAGCAAGAAAAATGAAGCATGTCTGTTTGGGTTGTGCTCGGCGTGTATGACACACTGTGTCTGTCTAATACTGATCGATTGGGAAAGGAGCGGAGTTCAGCAGGAAGTTCAGCTGTTACAGTTTTCAGGTTTTCACACTTTTTTCACTTTGTCTCTGTGGCTGACATGTGGACGATCAGAGCAGCAGCAGCACATACAGACGCTCTCTGTACGCAGACCAAAGCTGTGCACCTCTGTTGTAAACTTCTCACTCAGAATTCATCAAACAGTCTTCTGCTGCACAGCCGAGGATTCTGACACTAGGTAAGAACACAGGCAGGATCTAAGCCCACAGAGCAGTCGTCCACAGTGTCCAGTCTGACACATGATGATCTGCAAACTGTCCATGAAGACATCTCAAGAAGCTGGTCATGACACAATAATGGGAATCAATGATAGTTTAATAGTGTGTGCAGGAGCAGAAAAGTCCAATTTGGCTGTCCAATCAGAAACAAGAAAGGAAAGGAGGTTAGCGTGTCCTCGATCGTATTTAGAAACTCCCCCGCTCATCCTGGGAACACACTAAAGTTTACGGCCTTTAGGCCTGTGTTTGAATCGAGCCTGCAGCCGTGAGCAGCATGTCTTACTCCTCGTCTTTCTGTCCTGTCGCACTAAAGGCTGAAAAAAACAAACAGAAAACAGCGAAACATGAAGTTTACACATACCTCTGCACTGAAAACAAACCTGGCCTCAGATGATTTTTACACCATAAACACACTCACAAATATTTACAGCAGGTGAGAAACTTTCATTGTCAGTTGTGTGCACAGTTTTGTGTGCTGTGGATGAAATCATGTGTATTTGATCTTTGAACACTTTGGGTCCAGCTGCCATAAACTGAGCGAATCTGCAGCCTAACAGTGAAGTCACGCATACACATCCACACACAGCTCGGCCATTGTACACTGCAGTCAAAGCCATATTGTTGAAGGTAAATAGTTGTGTAATTTTATCTTTTTTAACCTGCAGACCAACATCAGGGATGTTTGGAAAGTTCAGCTCCGCATGTCCTCATCAGTTCATGAACTTGGCTATAACACAGACCTATCTCATCCTCCAGGTTTATTATTTAACTACCTTGTCAATATTTGAAAGGCAACATGGCTTAGGACAAACAAAGTCATAAACTGGTTTCCACTGGTAATAGATGAGCCCCAAGAAAGGCTCTGGAATCCTTGACCTTTAGCAGGACCTCTACCGGGTAATGGTCGCTGACATCCAGCGCCTGAATAAAAAACACAGGAAGAACAGCCAGTGTCAACAAATGAACAGAGTTTGATCTGTTTCAGTAACAAAATCACAGCACACCGTGTTTAACACACTCTGTAGGTGTGTGTTTCTGTACAGTCCACACACACTGGTACAGACATGCAGAGCGTGGACTGTTACCTGCTCCTCCGTCAGTCCGTATTCCTCTTGAAAGTTAAACGGTTTGGCTGAAGCAGGCACGATGGCTCTGTGAAAGGTTTCCCCATTCACAACAATCCTGTTGGCACAAGCAGAGAGCAGCACACATTTACTCATGTCTCTTATTTCATTCACACGGTCACATTTAAGTCTGCTATAGTCTGCTTACATTTACATATTGCATATCAGCTTTTATCAAAGGAAACTTTGTTTCTTGAAAAGTTCCAGGGATCCTAAAATCTTGGGAACTCTCCTGAATCAAAGCTTTGTGCGTTTATCTGTCGTAGGGGCAGGATGTGGTCGATCGCACGGTGGTGTCAGCGTCGTCTGGGATGAGCCAAATAAGATTCGTGTCTGTGATTAGGCGCACATTCTTCCTGTTCTTCTTAGCGAGGTAGCCACAGCCCGCATTAAAGTCTCCAAGAAGCATCACATTCTGCCCATTACAGCACAGCGGTCACCATGTACACCTGTGGTATTGACTTCTTGTCTGTTTGATGAATGCCAAAATAGTCTTTACCTCAGTTTTCCACATGTTTCTCACATGCTGTAGAACATCATAGAGGGCATCGAGCTCCTTGGTGGTGTTGGAGGGTGTGGTGTGCTGAGGTATGAGAACAAACTCCTTTATAGCTGAGGATGGAAATGAGGGTTAGAGGGAGAATCCATCCAACAGCACCAATATTTCCATTCTGTCACAGGGAAGCATCGGGGACCGACCTGTGCGGTCCGCTCTGAAGCGGACAACAAATGGCTCTCTGGAGAAAGCGTCGACGTCTCCTGGTTTATTATCAGGGTACTGATACTGGTCCGTGACCCTCACCGTCTCCTTCCTGAACACATTCAGGTTCAGTGAAGCCAGACTCCGTCACCTGCACTTAGATGTCCTGTGCACAGAGGTGTAGCTCACCTGTACACAAACACGTACTGCTCCTGGTATGTCTCAGACCTGCCCAGTCTCTCGCTGGCCACAGTCTCATATTTATACTTGGTGTCAAACCTGAGGGTGAAACAGCACAGATGGGACGGGGATGCAGTCACTGCATGTGTCAGTCGCTAAGTTTGAGCATTTAGAGTCCAAACCACTCACCTCCAAACTTATGCAATAACATGTGTCTGTGGGTGTCTGTGGGTGTGTGTGGGTGACTGTGGGTCTGTGTGTGGGTGTCTGTGGGGGTGGGTCTGTGTGTGGGTGTCTGTGGGGGTATCTGTGGGTATCTGTGGGTGTGTGTGTGTGTTGGTGTGTGTGGGTGGAAGCGAATGAATAATCACCGTTTTAGGGAGTCGAGCAGCAGTGGTAAAGCTTTTCCTCTACTGTCTCTCACTTCCTGGAGCAAACACACATCACAGCGTGTGATGATCTGAAATGGAGACACAGCACAGCCATGAAAAGGTGAGTGGGAGTGGGACACACAGAGGAGCCACTCATTATTCGCCCCGCTGGTCACCTGCAATAAAATAAAATGTCCTGCATCCCTAAAAATATTTGTTATATTTGTTCTTTTTGGTCCTTTTCCCAGACCACCGCGCAAATTAGAACGTGTTCATTCCGACTGATGTAGTAAGGAACGCGTTGGCATTGACTCTGCGCCACCTTGTGGTGCTAAATGATAATGCATGGAAGTGTCTTCATAGCCTTTGTTTGGTTGCTTTGGTTAATTTCACAATGTGGTGAACAAATTTTCAAACAGGAAACAAGTTTCTCTAAACAAATCATTTTTACTGATTCACTGAGTAATTCTGTCAGTTTGTTAGTGGCCCCACTAGCTACAGCCATGTAGTGACTATCGTCCACTAAAGAACCACGACACTGTCCCTCAGCTGCTTGAGACAAATACAAGAACACAAGCACTCTTACCCAGTCTTTCTTTTTACCTTACCCTGGCAAGAGTCACCATAACGTCACTCTTCTTCGACTTGGATTCACCAAAGTGTTGTGTGTTGAAGGCACAGATCCTAAAATCTGAACCAGCTTTAGTATCGGTCACATCCACGAGGACGGCAAGCAGCAGGAGGAGAGACAGACTCATGGCCAACAGCTGGAAGGAAGCACAGTCCCCATCGAGAAACATGATGAAACACATGAGCTGAGGGCTGCTACGGGACAAATTCAGCTTTGTTTGGTGTTTAAAAAAAACACTTTTGATGGAAGCTTTGATGTGAACATAACTGAGACGTGGACTAAAGAGGAGACAGACCACTGCATCTCTGATGGTGCAAAGAAGACGGGAGTTTGTTGCTGCCATCAAATCCAGAATATTTTCCTCTAATGGTGTTTCACCGTCTGTTTGATTTGGGAACAACATTTTTGGAGCTGGGGTTGTATAACTAAAAGGTTTTTAATTTGAATGATTTTAATTGATAAAAGAAGTAAACAGCAAACCAGCACAAATCTAATGGCTGTTGTTGCTTGTGCATAAACATGAACTGTGATTATTCCTGTTTCTCGTGGTTTGACTCAGCAGTGAAACTTCCTGTTCTTCCTGTTTCTTGTGAAATTAAAATTATTCACTTCTCCAATTCCTCCTGATGACCAACAATAGCTTTAGCATAAATCTTAGACATGAACCACATATTTGTTCTCCCCCTTATCTAAGGTCAGGTGACCTGGGAGGGGGGTTCCACCCTGAACACGTCACCACCCTGTCACAGGGCCAATGCAGAGGCTCACATTTACCCGTTCTATGGGCAATTTACAGTCTCCAGTTAAGCTAAAGCCGCATGTCTTTGGACTGAGGGAGCCAGAGGGAACCCAGGAAGGCACAGCTAGAACACACAGCGACCTCGGTCAGATGATGGACTGCCACCCAGGGCCTTCTGCTGGTGAGGCAACAGTGCTAACCCTGGCACCACCGTGCTGCCCTGCATCATTATCTATTTAAAACCCACTAGCATAAAAGGGTCAAACTGAGTTCAATCGTGTGTATGTATAAAACCGTCCACATGTAAACACTTGTTGCCCACAGAGATGATGTTTGCTCCGTGTCCTCTGTCTGTGTTTCTTAATTTGTTACCATTTCAGTTCCTTAAAAATGTTCTCACATAAATAATTAATAGTGTGTTCATTAAAAAATGTCCACTCATATTTACTTTCAGACAAAATAACATAGCCAGTTAGCTTTCAGTCTGTTGGCCACGATGGTTTCACCCGAAACCCCTGCTGATGATGACCCACACATTCACACTTTGGCTCACGAGATGATGCACATGATCAGTAGTGTTCCTCTTAAGGGACAAATCCACTCAGGTTCTTAGAGCTGAAGATAGAGCTGACACGTCTTCAGGAAACCAAACTAGTCCAGATCTGTCCAAGGTCCCCCCTCAGCCACAGATGTTTTGCATTAATGAGTGCAATCACATCTGTGGACTGATGAGTCCCTGACAGGAAGACCACGGTGTTCAGTTACTTCAGTCTGTCACTGCTCTTAGTGTCCTGCAGCGACTGTAACCACATCATTTCCTCAGGGCCTGGAGAACAATGTCCAGAACCCAAACAGGAGAAATATGAAGGAAAACAAACAAACATAACAGTCCAGTCAGTATGAAACAGGACACACGGAAACAATCATGGAAACCCACGGCACACATCTGAAACTAACGTGGAAAACAAGAAGCGAACTCCAGAAAACAAGATGATAAAATCCTAAAATCAAACAGAAAACACGGAGCAGTGACCATCGCAGGAATGATCCTGACGTCATGGGAAACATGGAGAAATGACTCTAGTTCAGCTCTGTTAGCTCTAAAGCTGTTACACGTCTACTTTCAGCACAACACATGAAACTACAGCGTGTGTGTAGCAGGCTGTACCAGCTGCTGTAATGTGAGCTCCAGCTGTCAGGTCTTGAACCCAGACACACAGCTTAGTGTGTAGGAGAGTGCAGCTCTGTAGTCATAAACACACAGCAGCAGATTACAGTCACACACTCCACTGAGACGGCTTTTCCTTCGCTCGCTCCTTCTGTGGGTCGTCAAACTACAGCTTACCAGCTCTGGACTTCTTGGAGTTGTAGGGTGTGTTCGCTTCTTACTCCTGTCTCTCGACTGAAACTCAAAGCTACCCCCGCCACTCTGTTTCCTGTAGGAGGACTACAAGGAGGAAGCAGCAGGAGATCTGCTGCTGTGAAAAACTTTCTTCTGTTTGTCAGAGATCAAGTCTTTATCAGGAAAATCATTGCAGACATTAACATTTTGAATACTTCAAAGTAAAAAACCACAAACCTGCCTGGTTACACATATATGACTTAAGTATTTACTGTGAGGAGGCAAACAGTCCACAGATGAACAGATCAGGTGTGGGAAGTTTAAGACAGCCTGCAGGTTAAAGACGTGTACACTGCTCCAAAACATTCAAAGAAGACTTGTTCATCAGAGCTTAGGACCGTGTCAGTTACACTTCAGAGATATTGATCTGGTCAGTTAGCAGAAAGGGCTGTTAAACTAACAGCAGGGGGCAACACTGAGGAACCTGAAACAGGAACAGCTTTACAGGTGGAGGCACCTGACGTGGTTCACTCCTCAGCGTTTCTAACTCGGATCAGTGTCCTGCTGGGAATCTGGGATGACACCTGGAGTCCAGCTGTGGAATAATCACACGGTGTCCTCCCACTCACAAGTCCGGATCTGTGAACTGTGTCTCACAGCCAGTGTCCAACACCTGGCACAAGCTACGCTGTGGCATACAAAGACACAGGTGAAACCAGCCATCACCTGAATGCAAGGAAGTGTCCACTCCCACCGCTGTCCAAACTTTCATACTAGATTTCATTTCTTTGTAATCTTCTTGCCAGTGATTCCAACAGGAAATCTAGAATCACCAGTTAGCCCCACCCACTAACAGATGTCTCTGGACCGTAGGAGGAAGCAGCCAGGAAAACACGGGAGAACCTGCAGACTGTCCTCCTGTCTCCAGCGGACAGGTCGGCCTGGATGAAGCAGGGACACACCGGTGCCAAACAGATGGATGAAAACAAACGTTACGGACTCCAAACGTACTGCAAAAACTGTTTCTCACAGAAATGTCCCACGAGAAGCGCAACAGTGAGCACTGAACTACATACAGCAGTACAGCTGGTGCTATGGTGCTGAACCAGGACCTTCATTTGGTCTCCTTAAAAACAGAAACAGTAATAATAATAATAATAATGGATACTTTATTGATCCCCATGGGGAAATTACTTGTTTTTCTCTGCATTTGACCCATTCACTCAGTGAAGCAGTGGGCAGCCCACTAAGCAGGCGCCCGGGGAGCAGTGTGTAGGGACGGTACCTTGCTCAGGGGTACCTCAGGGTAGCCGTTAAGTGGATTCGAACCGCCGACCTTCCGATCATGGGGCGACCACTTTACCTACTGAGCTATCCCTGCCCCTAGTAGCTATATATATATATAGGATATAATGTCCAGTAGCTCCACCTACTGGACATTATATCCCTAAGTTAACCAAAAATAAATAAATGGTAAATTTCCTGTATTTATATAGCGCTTTACTAGTCCCTAAGGACCCCAAAGCGCTTTACATATCCAGTCATCCACCCATTCACACACTGGTGATGGCAAGCTACATTGTAGCCACAGCCACCCTGGGGCGCACTGACAGAGGTGAGGCTGCCGGACACTGGCGCCACCGGGCCCTCTGACCACCACCAGTAGGGAACGGGTGAACAGCGATGGCAGCAATAATGTGTTTGATTATCTTCTAATCCTGATTTGCCAACACGTTTAGCTGTCAGCTGTTCCCGATGCTTCAGCAGCTCGTCAATAAGAACACAGACGCAAGTTCATTTAAAGCTCTTTACCTGAAACGCAGCAACAAGTCAAACTGAGCTGAGAGCATGGACACGTCACAGGTCTGATCACTGCAGAGCACTCATCCTACTGAGCCGCTGTTCTTTAATGTTACAACTTTGTTCTTATTTTGGTTAAACTGGTGTTACAGTACAGCTGCAGCTCCACGTGACTGTTACCTGTCAGAAGGTAACATCCACCTGTGTTCAGTATCAATGAATGTGGATACCTGTTCACGTCATTTGTGGACAGCAGAGAGAAGACAGACGAGGCTTTTAGCGTGTTACCTTTACAGTCCAAAGCGTGTTCAGTGTTTCCTCAGCTGTAAATTACAGAATTAAAGGCTGAATACTTTGAGGCCCCATGAAGGAAGACCATCAGCTGTTAGTGTGGGACTGTATGCAGTTATAGAGTAGGATCTGTAACGATCCTCACACACTGCTCACACTTCAGTATAACTCCTAACACCTGTGGTAAGATTAATGTGTCCAGTCTCAAGTGCAACTGGACACCACGTTAGAAAACCTCCCCAGACTTGATGTGCGATTTCATGTTCAATGAAGACAAAGCCACGCTCTCATCACTTTTGTAATCAAAGCCATCTTTATGATTATGTGGCACAGAGAGCAGCCTCAGACTGCGTGCAGGGCCCTCCAGCGGGCCAGAGGGCCTCTGTTGGGGATGTATTTGACCCCACAGCCATCAGAATCAGACGCTTCTCGGCCATCATGTCATCAAAGTCACAGGCGTTGAACTTGGTGAAGCCGTACTTCTTGGAAATGTGGATCTGAGGGCGAGAGCACAGACATGGGTTCAGCCTTTCAGTACACTTACTTACACTAAGTCCCTGATGAAGACACATTTTGTCTCAGTGGTCCTTAAAGCACTCAGCACCTCCAGCTGAGGACATACCACAACCAAAAGAGTCAGTGTCTGCAGCCTTTGCACACCAGAACCGCACCACAGCGAGACCGGTCGGCTTAATAAGCTGCAGAGGACTCACGTCACTTTACATTTATTACAGCAGAAGCTTTGGGAGCGTCTACTTCTGACGACCAGGGAACTTGAACTTGGCTCTGCGCAGAGCCTCCACCACTGCTCCTTGTTTGGGCCTTGGTACGCACGGACATGATCACCTGACCGATGTGCACGCGGCACGGTGCCTGGGGTTTACCAAAAGCACCACGCATTCCAGTCTGGAGCCTGCCCGACACAAACAAGAGGATTACAGGATAGCCAGACTGCGCTCAGTGCAGCAGGGCTACGGGTCAGTCAGCCTCTCACCTGTCAGCTCCAGCACAGGACACATTTTTTGATGCGGATGACGTGGAAGGGGTGCAGACGCATGCGGATGTGGAAACCGTCCTTACCCAGGTCTTCACCATGTACTTGTAGCACAGATACGGGCAGCTTCCAGAGCTACAGGGTTGAAGCACAACATGCATGAAGTTATAGGCACCGCTGTTTGTGTTTGCCAACAACCCTGACTGACTGCAGCATTAACACGAGCCAGACAAATGAGGAGGATGGGGCTTACTGAGGTCATCACACGAGTGAGAGCTGTGCTCTGACGTCTCTCTGAACCCAGGACTCGAACGCAGTCAAGACAAACTTTACTGTTCTAACCTGGAACCTTTACTTTCCCCTAAGACCCAACACTGCAGCTACCAGGCTCAGTGCATCCTCTAACAGTAACGTACTCATGCAGGAAGCAGTGCATGCTTCCTTACTGAGTAACGTGCTCAGGGTGTGGCTGAGCAGCCTTCCTCCTGTTACCACTGTGATACAGCAGACCCTCCACAGACGAGTCACACATTAGCACCAAGTCTATCTGCCTGATGCACTGAACCTGTGACGAGCCCAGTTTAACGTTCCTGGTGCCAGTAAGCAGCTGTGGCCAGTTTAACTGGCTCCTTCCTCATATACACGAGTCTTTATGGAGCAGCTTTAAAGCTCGCAGAGAGTGTGTGTGCTGTATACTAGGATAGTTTTTATATTTAATATACAAGCTGTTACATTAGGTTACAAACATCTCACAGCTATACAATAGTTTCCCACAGTAGTAATCAGTACCCCCCCGAACAACACTGGGAACAGCCAGTGATCTAAACTGGAAACGAGACTGGCTCATTCAGCTATAACACCTCTAACAAAACGTTTAAAGCAACCTGGTCTTTAACCACAGAGGCCATCGTCTCACTGTCTTTATCAGTAAACTGCACTCACGGGCCAAAGTGTGCTCCTACAAAGAAGCACACACGTTACCAACAGGTGTGTTAGTCGTGGCTCCTGGTCTCCTCACCTTCTGATGACAGCTGCTCGTACTCATCAGAGACCATGTGGCCGCACAGGGGAACTCATCCACCTTGGCCTTCTTCCTGCCCAGGTCAAAGATCCTGATCTTGGGGTCTGATGAGAACAGAAGAGGAAGGATAAGAACACTGAAACTCACGTCTGCATCAGCGAGACCAACTCATGGGCTTTTCCATCAGCGCCTACTCGGATCGACTGGAGTCACCTGACGCAGCTGTTGTCATAGCAACACGTCCCGAATAAACGTGTGACACGAACACTCCAACAAAGTGGATGTGGAGAACATACCTGCTGCTCGGCCTGTGGCACGTCGTCAGACTCGGGGAACGAGACGCTCTCGTGATGCTACTGCCCAGCCAATCGGCGGCCTGCAGTCTGATGACATCACATTTTACTGCCTGCTCGGATCGTTTGAAACCCGGGCCAAGCAGGTACGATAAAGGTACCTTTATAGTACCTGGTACTACTATGACCTAATGGAAAAACGCGCTGAGCCGATCTGAGTAGGTACCAATGGAAAAGCAGCTTTAAAATGAAACAATGATGACCAACTAATTAATTGTGAGCCACACAGCAGCAGCATTTTGTCTCAGTGGTCCCTTAAAGCACTCAGCACCTCCCAGCTGAGGACATACACAACCAAAGAGTCAGTGTCTGCAGCCTTTGCACACCAGAACCGCACCACAGCGAGACCGGTCGGCTTAATAAGCTGCAGGAGTCACAGCAGCCCACTGTGACAGTTCGGTCCAGAGGGGTGACCGTGATGTCACCTGAA